TACCTTAAAAATGAAAAAAACCCCCAATTATATAAAAGCTGAAATAGTATGATAAATTAAAAATAGGATTAGGTTGGGGGCGCCTGGGTGGCTCAGTCGGTTAAGCGTCTGCCTTTGGCTTGGGTCATGATCCTGGCGTCCTGGGATGGGGCCCCAAGTCAGGCTTCCTGCTCAGCGGGGAGTCTGCTTCTCCCTCTCCCCTCTGCTTATGCTCTCTCTCTCTCTCAAATAAATAAGTAAAATCTTAAAAAAAAAAAAAAAAAGAATTAGGTTGGGAGAGTAGGCATAGTCTGGGGCAGATGCAGACACCTGACCACTACCTGTAAGTCTAACATGAAGCCTTGCCCCTAATAGGTGCTCAATCGATGGTATTGATTGAAAAAGGAAAACACTCAGAGACAACAATGCAGATCCCCAGGTCCCGTCTTCAGGTAGGTCTGGGGTTGGACTCAGGGATCCGTCAGTACTTGTCATGCATGGCCGGGGGCTCACGGTTCTGGGGACCACACCCGAGATGCTGGGTGCCGAGCCCCGGCCCCACATCCTGGCACCCAGGGCTCTCAACACTCGGACCCTACTGGCTGGCCTGAGCCACTTGCCTCTGCCAACTGTGTCACTGTCCCTCCAACACGCTGTTCACTGCCACCCCCACGACCTCCACGCCTTCGCTCTTACGTCTTGCCTAGCGCTGTGTCCATGCTTGCTTCAAGTCCTTCCACCAGGCCTTGCTGTGGGCTAGCGAACATATGGGGGCTCCAGCGAGGGACATACGCTCCCCACAATGCACCAGATGTCACAGCCCAGAATTCACGTCCAGGAGTCACGGGACTTTCGTTTAAAAAGTGTCATGGCACTACCTGCATCTCATTATCCGCACTGGGGGAGGGTCGCTACCCACCTGAGAGGATGGAACGCGTTACCAAAACCAGAACGCCACGGACCGCTCCAGCTCCGGGAGCCGCCTGCCGCTCCCCCAGTGGGGTGGGGGAGCCTCGGCTCTCCTGAGACAAGACCCCCGTTCTAAATGAGCTCAAGCTGGCCTCAAAGGCTGTTGCCGCATCTCTGACTTCCTATTTTTAAATAAAACTTAGGCTCAAAAAAGAAAAGGGTACGTGTCTCATCCAAATTAGTAACCAGGCAAGGGCAAGGCTGGTCACCGGCTCGCCGACAGACACTTGCGAGCGAGCGGGCTCAACGCGGGGCGACGAACCGTTTCCATTTTGTTGACAAACACATGTTGCAAGACAGGAAATTATCCTCCTTGGTGCTTATTTTATCTCCGTTTAATTGCTGTTTGATAATAAATTACAACAGAGAGTCCATTAATTAAGCTAACAATGTCCGTGGAACACCAACTCCTTCTTCTGGGAGTTGCCTTGTTAACGGGAGCTTTGATTCAGTCTCTGTTTGCCCACAGCACTTTCCGAAGCGGTTCACAAAGATGCCAAAGCACGTGACTGGGGTGGGGTGGGGGGGCTCACTCCTAGCGCGGAGGGAGCGGCTCTGGAAGGGGGGCTGGAAACCTTGATGAGCCAGGGTGGGGGGCAGCCTAGCAGCTGCAGAGAGGTACCAAGGGTGCCTTCTTAATTCAGAACATGTGGTAGAATAGAAAACAACATTAGACTTACTTAAAAAAAAATCAGCTGATGGGAAACAACCAGGGCCCACTCATAGGTATTCATCCCAGAGCTGGGGGGGAGCAGTGAGCCGCCTAATTTGGTTTGCCATTCCATCATCAACTAAATGGCAGGAGCATTCATCTGGAAAAGCTCTGCATGCAGGTGGACCCGCTGAAAGATGAATTCATTACTTCCCACCAAAGGCGCTGGTCGTCGGCTGTGTAAGCCACAGAGGAGGGAAGAGCCTGCTGGCTGGCTCCGGTGTGGACAGGGAGCTGACAGGTGGCCATCTGCAGGCTGGATCTGTTTAGCAGGTGACCGGTGCGACTCTGAGGCAGGGGACACCAGACCAGTGAAGGCTCTGGACAGAAGGGTGAGGAAGGCCAAGTTCATAGGGGTCTGTCCCGGAGCTGGGAGCATCACAAGGACATTAGTGGGCGTTCTGAGTGGCCGGGACAAAAGGAAAGGGCAGAGGGCCCTGGGGGAGATGTCACGGGACCACAGAAGGCAGATGGAGCCACTTCAATGTGCTGGTCCTTAGATTCAGCTGAGAATATCCCAAGTGGCTTAGAAAACCTTCCCCGGAATCACCCAGGTAAAAAGCCACTGCTTGGAGCCATATGGGGAAGCCCTCAGATGTCTGAGAGTCATTCTTTAGACCAGCTTTTTTCCCTTTCGCATTCCCAAGGTCAGCTTCACAGGCCAGGTTTTGATTATGAGGATATCTAAATGCGCTGGTGTCTATGACGCCACGGTTACTAAGTACTTAGTTCAAATGTTACCTATTCAGAGCACTGGACAGAGAAACCTGGGAGTTAAGTATAAGCCACTCCTCGTATCTCCCCGAACAATGATCACAGACCGTGTGCTGGAAAAGCTGGAAAGTCAGCAGGAGCCGAAGGCCAGGATGTCTCCTCAGCCTCCAACCCTCTCTGAACTCCTCCAGGAGTTCAAACTAAGCCCGATCTAAGCATATCATCCTCCCCGTGGTTCTCTAGTGTCAAGTCCCAAACTTCCCAGGCCAGCATCCTGGCATCATCTGGGAACTTGCTGGAAATGCGAAATCTCAGCTCCTACCCCAGGCCCCCCGATTCAGAAGCTCTGGGCCTGGGGCCCAGAAGGTGGTGCTTTCACGAGCCTTCCAGGGGATTCGGCCACACACTGAAGGCAAGGACTAGTGCCTTGGAGCCTGACTGCCTTATCAGGCCTTGGGAGATCCGCCTCTCCATCCCCTTCTGCCTTATCTCTTGGCCGGTCCTTCCCTCTTGCATTGGGCACCAGCCAAACTGGGCCACCTTCTGTCTCCCGACACTCCAGCTATCTTGCTCTTTCCACACTTACTATGCTGTAGATTTTCCTGCCTCTTTACTTGTCTCTTTCCTCAAGTGCAAACCATCTGAGAGCAGGGACTATATCTTATCCGTTGCCACATATACTCATGACCAGCGTCTGAAGCAAGTGATCAAGACAGAACTCGCTGAGTGAATGAATAAATGAATAAAGACACTCTGGGGGCACCTGGGTGGTTCAGTCAGTTAAGTGTCTGCTTTTGCCTCAGGTCATGATCCCAGGATCCTGGGATTGAGCCCTGAGTCAGGCTCCCTGCTCAGCGGGGAGCCTGCTTCTCACTCTCCTCCTTGCTCGTGCTCTCTCACTCTCTCTCTCAAATAAATAAATAAAATCTTCAAAAAAAAAAAAAAAAAGACACTCCCTGGATTCTTTAGACCTTTAGACCCTTTAGTGCAAACGCCCCACTTCCCTGCGGAGACCCATCAGGAAGTGGAGCAGGTCTAGGCTTCCCCATCCTTCTCCTGCTCCCCAAGGGCACTTTTGGCCAATTGTGGGTTGTAGGGTTCAGTAAATCATCTTGAAGTACATGGGTTGGGTTTGAATTTAAAGTGCTTTGGTCATGCTGGAGGGCCTGAATTCTAGTCTGCTTTGCTCACCAGCACTGGCCCCCCCGTGCCTCAGTTTCCCCATGCTACGGGTCTACCTCCCAGAGGGGCTGCAGGGACCAAAGGAGCACAGGATTTGACTCCTTCCACAGTACCTATTATCCACCTTCAGAGGACCTGTCACACACTGAAGGGAGGCTGAGGGCCTGGACCCTCAGAACCACCTGCTGTGATAGCAGAGAATGCAATTCTCTTTCTAGGTATTGGCTTCGTGGGAAGCAAAAGTACCACAACCAAGAAAACCCACGAGCCTTTATGAATGCACGTGTGTGTGTACTCGTGACCGATGAGTGTGGATTTGCCACTGAATGTGTGTGTTCACAGAACATGAGCAAGACCAAGGGTGCTTATGGGGCATTTTGTCCCGTGTCTTCCTCTTACAGATGAGCCAGCTGAGACCCAGAGAGAGAACTGGTAAGTCTGGATTAGGGTCACCTGTTTGGTGCTCCTCTGGGATTGAATTATAAAGGTTTTTCCCATCTGTAGCCGGCCTTTTATTACTATGAGTTGACATAAAAAAATGTTTTAAATTGGGGCACCTGGGTGGCTCAGTTGGTTAAGCGACTGCCTTCGGCTCAGGTCATGATCCTGGAGTCCCTGGATCGAGTCCCGCATCAGGCTCCCTGCTCGGCGGGGAGTCTGCTTCTCCCTCTGACCCTCCCCCCTCTCATGTGCTCTCTCTCATTCTCTCTCTCTCAAATAAATAAATAAAATCTTTTAAAAAAATGTTTTAAATTTTTTATGAATGTCACATCTAATGACATTTTTGGATATGTGTCCTCCCAATCGTAGAGACTTTCGGCTAAGGTCTTTATGCGCATGCACACACGCACACACCTTGGGTTAGCACGAAGTTGCCAAAGGAAATTCATTTACCAGGCTCGGTTTTTACTTTGTTGGTTGGTCATTCTGCCCTTTTTGGGTTATCTTGTGCATTCTCCCGAGAGACCGGAGAACACGTGTGTTCTCTGAAATGTCACTGCAAGCACGCTCCTCCTACAGAGTCAGCCCTGGGCTCTTGTGCCAGCGCTTACAGACCCAATCATACTTCCTACCCACCTGCTGGCGACCTTTCAGGATGAGCATGTCGAGCATGTTCTCATGAGGAAATCGGCTATTTCTTCAGGCATATTTGATTATAACTGCAATGTATGCACAGGTACACTCGCCTATTTGCAAATGACTGCAATTTATTCACATTCTCTATTCAGTATGCAATGTGCCCATTGGTCCCCTTAATATCTGTGCCAGTGCAAACACTCATGAATCTTTCCCCAAGTGTTATATGGAAACAACCAGAAAGCCCCCCACCTTCTTAACATTTCAGAACACGTAATAGCTACAAATAGGGGACAGCAGACGTCACTGCAAGTCCCACGAATCCCTGGTGCTTTTACTCCCCTCCTGGTCAGAGATGGGCTCCTACCTGGGGCCCCCAGCCATGGCACGGGTACAGTATTGCTGTGTGGTTCTCCAGTGGCCCCTGGTCCAAGCAGACGTCTTTCGCCTTGTTGTTTCGAAGCTGCGGAAATAGGCAAGATACCCCCATCAGAGCTCATGGGCTGGAACTTCTGCTACCCAACCCTTGTCCCACCATGCCTTGGCCCCAACTTCTCAATGCAAAGGCCACATGACCCCCCCAATGTAAGGACCAAGGCTCAAATTTGTGAGGTGATCATTTTCGCAAGAAAGACCAAGTCCTTCAATGGATGGTGTGGGCACCAGCCCTCTGCCTGGGACACCTCCAGCCTCTGCTTACACACAGCTACCCCATCCCCAGCACAAAAGAGGGGCTCACGGAATGTTTGGACATAGGTACACACTAGTTACCCACTGGTTATCCAAAGTGGGCCTCGACACCAATGTGGGTTTTAATCACCCCGGGAATCATAGGTCAGCTTCTGAAGTCATTACTGACATGGAGGCATCAAAAACAATAATCCGAAAAGCAAACGAAAACCTTGCCATCATGAAAAGCCTTGGTAACATTTATTTATATATTCCAAAAATACTTACTGACTGGCCTACACTGTGCCAGGCACCATCCTAAGTGTTTGGAATGCATCTGTGGAGGAATAGCCCAAAGTCCCCAAGACAAAACCCCTGAACCCAGCGAGGCACATCTCTTTGGGAACATGGAAGAATTTGTCTAACTGGAACCTCCAGGGGCTCTGTGATTCTGCTTTGGTGTCCATCACACCCACCATGCTGCAATCTCAACCAGTGGGAAAATGCCAATGCTGTTGGTCTTATCCATATATACTCAGCCCTCTCCAGGTTCTGTTCACTATGGAAACTAAACTAATCAGGGATAAATCATGAAGAGAGGCGAGGGGCACTTTCCTTTGGTGTGCTCAAGTTTTGTCTAGGTTCCGACAACTGAGCAGAGTTTTAATGCCTGTTTTTTTTAAAGATTATAAAAATAATACCATCTTACTGAGATATCTTGAAAAATGCAGAAGTAACAATTGTTCACAATCCTTTCCCACAATCAGTTAATTTTTCCCAATTTTGAGACAATTTAGTTTTGTTCACTTTTGACGGTAATGAGAAACTTTGCATGTAAAGCTTTGTTCCCATTTCAGGTTTTCTCAAGAAAATAATCTGAGAGGGGCACCTGGGTGGCTCAGTTGGTTAAGTGTCTGCCTTCGGCTCAGGTCATGATCCCGGGGTCCTGGGATGGAGCCCCACGTTGGGCTCCCTGCTCAACAGGGAGTCTGCCTCTCCCTCTCCCTCTAACCCTCCTCCCTGCTCTCGTTTGCTCTTTCTTTCTCTCTCAAATGAATAAATAAAAAAATCTTTAAAAAAAATCTGAGAACTGGGATTACAGTAGCAAAAAGTATGGATCCCTTAACGTTCTTAAAATACGCTGTCTGATTCCTTTCTGGAAACTTTGAACTAATTTCTATTCCCATCCATAAGATATGTAAATAACTTACGAGTCCTGAGTTTCACCATTTAAAAACATTGTGTTGGTCAAAGTACACAAACTTCCAAACCTAGATTTTGGGGAACCTAATGTACAGCATGGTGATTATAGCCAATATTACATACTCAAATTGCTAAGTGGATAGATCATCTTAAATGTTCTTACCACAAAAAAGAGATGGTAATTATGGGATGGAATGGAGGTGTTAGCTAACTCTATGGCAGTAATCACTTTGTAATATGGAACTGTATCAAACCAACACGTTGAACACTTTAAGCTTATAAAACGTTATATGTCAATTATATCTCAATAAAGCTGGAGGAGAAAAAATAAAGAAAGCTGCTCGGAAGAAAAATTCTAAAGAAAGTGGTGGAGTATCGTTTTTAACCCAAGTTTCCAAAAATTTGTGCAGAGGGGTAGAAGTGATGAATCAGACATGTTGCACAACGAGTCCCAAGCAAGTGATCTCCAAGGAACTGTAAAGCCACCTTAGGAGCCCCGCACCATATTTTAGTTCTTTCTTAGATGCTTTGAGGAAATGCTCATTGTTGATGCTTTCAATGATGTAAAGGATAAATTACATGGAAAAATTCAAACAACTTTTGAGTCAAAAAGTAATTGAGGCGAGTTAAGATGTTGAAAGCAATGAAATCTTAGAAATACCTCTACCAATGTACTTTGCTTATATTTCCTTTTTATGTCTGTACAACAGCAACATGATAAAATGTGCCTAATGAAGCCCAATGAAGCTTTTAAAATAAGTATAAAATAAAAATTACAGGTAATAAAAAATATTGTGTTGAGAGGTGAAGAAACACATCTTGCTTTTATGAATTTACAACTAATAGTAAATTGGAATGTTTCATGTTTAGCAATTATTTCCCTTTTTAAGAATTATCTGTTTATTTCCCCATTGGGATCTCAAGTGGTTTTACTGTAGATTTATAAGAGCTCTTTATATATTAAGGACATTGTTTTTATGGCATATTCGTTCCATATAATGATTTCAGAATGCCGGGCTTTTAAATTTTGTTTCTAATGTTTATGCAAATAGATCTATTATTCAGGAACTTAATATTTATGGCGGGCCTGCTACATGCCTGGGACTGTGCTAAGTTTAAGGAACGCAGAGATAAACAAAACAGTCCCTGCCCTGAAATAGTCCATGGTCTGGAGAGTTAGACAAAAGGAGAGCTAGTACGATACTGAGTTTGCCAGGACAGCAAGGAGAGCATCCTCACCCCATCTGCAGGTTCAGACACTAAGAAGAGGGACTTGTAAGCCAAGGGTAAGTGGAAATATTGCTGGAAATGTTCTAGTTTTTACCCAGGTAGTTTTTTGCTTTATATTATTATGCTACACATGTATGCTTTATGCATATGTGTATTGTCTTTCACATAAATAACAGTAAAAGAAAAAAAGATGAATAAAACCAAACTAGGGGTCTTCAGGCCACAAGGACAATATGAGTCAAACATGGAATGTGAGCAAAAGGTTTGGGGGTGAATGTTTTTGTGCACACCGAGTTGCTTTTACATGTGGAAAAGCGATTATCTCATACATGGGAGAGTCAAGATATCAAGTATCCACATTTTATTTTAATTATTTTATTATTTTAATATTTTTTACTATTTTAATAGAGTCCAGCTAATAGAGGTAAATAAACATTTAAAAATCAAGGGAAACAAAAAACAAATGATCCAGTTAAAAAATGGGTAGAAGACACAAATAGACATTTTTCCAAAGAAGCCATCCAGATGGCCAGCAGACACATGAAAAGATGCTCAATATCACTCATCATCAGGGAACTACAAATCAAAGCTATGAGATATCACCTCATACCCATCAGAATGGCTAAAATGAACAACACAAGAAGCAACAAGTGTTAGTGAAGATGCAGAGAAAGGGGAGCCCTCCTGCATTGCTGGTGGGAATGCAAACTGGTGCAGCGACCCTGGAGAACAGTTTGGAGGTTCCTCAAAAAGTTAAAAAATAGAACTACCCTATGACCCAGCAATTGCACTACTAGGTATTTACCCAAAGACACAAAAATACAGATTCAAAGGGGTACATGCACCCCGATGTTTACAGCATCATCATCAGCAATAACCACACTGTGGGAGCAGTCCAAGTGTCCATCGACTGATGAATGGATAAAGAAGATGTGGTATTTACTCAGCCATCAAAAAGAACAAAATCTTGCCATTTGCAAAGACATGGATGGAGCTGGAGTGTATTATGTTAAGTGAAATAAGTCAGTCAGAGAAAGAAAAATACCATATGATTTCACTCATATGTGGAATTTAAGAAACAAAACAGATGAACATAGGGGAGGGGGGAAAAGAGAGAGGCAGATTTAACGATAGAGATTTAACGATAAGAGATTTAACGATAGAGAACAAACTGAGGGTTGATGGTGATGGGTATTAAGGAGGGCACTTGTTATGATGAGCACTGGGTGTTGTATGTAAGTGATGAATCACTGAATTCTATTCCTGAAACCAATATTGCACTGTATGTTTAACTAGAATTTAAATAAAAACTCGAAGAAAAAAAAATCAAGGGAAAATGACTTCCTATCTAAGTGGGTGTAGGCACCATCACTGTTGTGTGAGGCAGAAACACTGGGACTGACACCTGCTCAAAGGTTCCTGCCTAGCTTTGCCACTGTGCTGGGGTCTGCGTGTGGCACAAAGAACGAGTCGCATTATAAGCATTAAAATATAATTGTCTAAAGAATCGTAAATTTTGTCACTGAAATGAATTTAACTGAAAAGCTATTCTGAAAGGTATGAAATGTAAATAAAGTAAAATAATGTTTGCATCTAAAATCCCAGTTAATGTTAACAAAGACTGAGAAGTCGATGAAGCAGTCAGGAGAAAGTGTGTTAATGTTCTCGTATTAATACCACTTGACCCTTCATTATGGAGACTCAGAGATGAATTTTTTAAAAAAACATTAGTGCAATTGCTGGATCGTAGGGTAGATCTATTTTTAGTTTTTTGAGGAACCTCCAAACTGTCCTCCACAGTGGCTGAACCAGCTTGCATTCCCGCCAACAGCATAAGAGGGCTCCTCAACTTCGCCAACACCTGTTGTTTCTTGTGTTGTTGATTTTAGCCATTCTGATGGGTGTGAGGTGATAGCTCATTGTAGTTTTGATCTGTATTTCCCTGATGATGACTGATGGTGAGCATCTTTGCATTACTAGGTATTTACCGAATGAATACAAAAATACAAATTCAAAGGGATACATGCACCCTGATATTTATAGCAGTATTATCTAAATAGCCAAATTATGGAAACAGCCCAAGTGTCTATTGACTGATGAATGGATCAAGAAGATGTGGTATATAGGGCGCCTGGGTGGCTCAGTTGGTTAAGCG